GCAGGCCTCTGCCCCGTTTCAGTCTGTCAGCAACGGGGTCCTGCACTTTCTCCCCCGCGAGAGATGCAAGTCCAGCTGATTCCTTTTCCCTCTTTTAAAAGTTCTGAAGCCTGTCGACATAAAAACATTCAAGCCTACAGAGAATTGTCATGAGTTTATTTGAGCCAAACTGTGCAAAATCTCAAGGACTGAGAATGCTCCGCAGAGCGGCAGTTCTCCAAAGAGGAGACGTCAGTGGGTTACATGAAATCCACGGGTGACAGGTTAGGGGGGTGGGAGAAAGCAAAGCGTAGAACCTGGGATTGGACAAAAAGTAAAAAGATAGACGCTTCTTTTACTTAGGTGGGTGCAGCAGAGTTAACAGTCAGCAATTAGCATGGTAACAATACAGTGAGAGGGTTTGCCCTCGCCCCAGGGGCCCTGCTAGTGCCCTGAGGGGCCTGGAAAAAAGGGAGTTACCCGGACATTCCAAAGGAATGTTACCGGAGATGCAAAAAGACAATAGACGGCGCAGGGAAGGTCAAGGTGGGCCTTTGTCAGGGAAGATACGACGTGACTACCCACCATAAACTGTTTTTAGTTAGAAAGCTTTCATTTCAGACCATCCTTTGTGGTTATTTCTGGTCTCTGAGTTTGCAAGGCCACCGNGGTTAGGACGTGACTACCCACCATAAACTGTTTTTAGTTAGAAAGCTTTCATTTCAGACCATCCTTTGTGGTTATTTCTGGTCTCTGAGTTTGCAAGGCCACCGCGTAGGCCTCCCCTGAGCCCTCAGGTTAGCATGTGGCCCCTTTTCCTCCGCAGGTCTGACCTGCGTCCTAAACGTGCCCAACACTGGGTGTGTTCCTGCAGTGAGGCTCCAACCCCCCCAGGCGGCCACCGGCGTCCCCGGTGGGTGTGGCGTGCGGGGCCGGCTGGTGGTTTTCCACTGACCTGCGGAGCCTGGTTCTCCAGGTCCCTGAGCAACAGTCCTGAGAAAACGTCCTCCGTGGGGACAAAGTGAACAAATGCTGGTGGTGCACTTTTACCAAAGACCCCCTGAGAACAGCTGGGTTGGTGAAGAGGTGGACTCAGGCCATAAATGTACCCCCTGCGGGGCCAGATCAGCTCTGAAAGTTTGGGTGTCGCCTGGGTTTTCATCCCACAGACGCACCTGCCTTGCGGGCCCCAGGCTGTGGGGGGAGGACCACAGAGCTGTCTCCTGTCCGGTTCTGCCTTTAAATGTGAGCGGACATGAAATGATTGCATTTGCCTTAAAAAACTACCTTTGTGAAAATTTCACCAAGTCTGACAATATTCTGCATTTCCTGCTGTTCTTTCTACTGACAGGCTACGAGCCCACGAAGTTGGTATTTTGCCCCAATTTGAGGCAAACTGAAGACTGTGTCATGTGTTGTTTTTCCACCTTGCTGTTTGCACAGGAACTGCCCTGGCAGACGGGAGATTCAGGGGTAAACACGTCCCTGACCTGCATCACTCAGGTCAACGGAAATGGACAGAAAGTCATTTGTGGAGAACACATGAGGCGCAGTGATTTTTATTCTTTCCACATGAGCGGTTCTTTAACAGTCTTTTCCTCCACCCAAAGTTGCAAAGAAGTGAAATTTAACAGGAATGAAAACTCAGATTACTGTGCTGCGAAAAAATTGTTTTTAAAGGGCCTTTACTTTTATTTTTTTCACAATTTTTGTCACTGCATCAACAGATACAGAATGTTCTTTCTCCAAATTAAAAACAAATTTGAAACTATTTAAAGAATTCTCTGTTAAAATAGGACGGTTAGGCCCTAATAAGCATCTAAAGCAAAAGGTGGATATAAAATTATCAATTTTGTTAAAGCTAAATCACTGAGTAGTTTCAATATTTTACTGATTGGTCCTTGGTTTCCTTTAAATATGGTAACAATATTCCTTCATCAGGAAGAACTCTAGTGGTGGTTCTAGCTGTGAACCTGTCCACGACCTGGGCAGGAGGGGCTGGCAGTGGATTCCAGCAGGACCTGGGCTGTGTCCTGGCCTTGNGTGAACCTGTCCACAACCTGGGCAGGAGGGGCTGGCAGTGGATTCCAGCAGGACCTGGGCTGTGTCCTGGCCTTGGGTCACCTGAGAGGTGCAGTTTCCGCTGGCCACCTCCTCGGGGTACTGGGGTGAACACACTGACTGCCGGCCTAGGAGTTTGCTCACCCTGACCTGGGACCCACAGGCTGGCCCTCCTCGGTGCTCACACGAGTTACACCCCTCACAGCTTACAGGGTCTGGAGGGAGGTGGAGGAGAGCCATGCACCCTAACCCGGGCCCACACAGGGGTACACTGTTCCCCTACCCCCAGGCTCCACCCAGTATCAGTGTACATGTTTTGCCTGGAGCGGAATGGCTGCCTAGGGAAGCAAAGACTCAGGTAACTTGGACATCCTGGTCCTGCTCTAGGAATATTCCTTTGGGGTCCCCTCCCTGCAAGGTTTGCCCCCCAGATCTTCTCCAGGGTGTCAGACCAAGTGGGTGCCCTGCCTTCCATGTCTCAAGCTCCAGCTGCCCCCTGGTCTGCACGAGTCTCCCCGGTGAGATTCTGGGTGCTCTTTCCAGATCACTGAAAACCAGCCAGCTCTCCGTGTGGCCTATTTCACATTCAGTGTGACTAGACCACCAGGTGCCCAAACAGCTGGACAGACGTCAGGGTGACACAGACGTCACAGTGAGAGGGTGTGATGAGGTTAGATCCCAGTCTGGGGACAGCAAAGCCAACAGCCCTGCAGGCATCGATGGGCCTCATCCTGGCCGTGAGGCTGGAGAGCACCGGGGAGTGGGAAGGGGGCCCCCTGTCCGCCTGCTGTCCCCCAGCTGGGCTCTGGCGCCCCTCGTTTCCAGCTCTGCTGCACCTGTGGGCACTGAGGGATGCTGTGCATGCTTCAGCTCACTGTCCCTCGTCACCTGCCCCCAGCAGGCTCTGGGGAAGCAATGGGTGAGTGAGGGACGCGCAGTCTGCATAAGCGTGTGGGGCCCCAGCCTAACGGTGGGAGTTTGAGATTCGAAGCTCATCCCGGGCTCAGCAAGCCGACAGGAAACCAGGCTCTCCAGGTCGGCAGCTGAGGGACAAGGTGGTGGTTGTCACTCCAGGAACAAGAGGCAGGCACGACCAGAGGCGGCCGGTGTACAAGGATGGGGACCTCTGTGCAGAAACTCATCTGAGCCACGTCTGGGGTCCCATGCCAGCCACCAGGGGGC